GGTATCGGAAAACCATACTATTTACATGGTTTCGTGCCCCTCCCACCCCTCCAGGGAGGCCCCGCCTGAGCGAGGAGGGTATCGGAAACCATACTATTTACATGGTTTCGTGCCCCTCCCACCCCTCCAGGGAGGCCCCGCCTGAGCGAGGAGGGTATCGGAAAACCATACTATTTACATGGTTTCGTGCCCCTCCCACCCCTCCAGGGAGGCCCCGCCTGAGCGAGGAGGGTATCGGAAAACCATACTATTTACATGGTTTCGTGCCCCTCCCACCCCTCCAGGGAGGCCCCGCCTGAGCGAGGAGGGTATCGGAAAACCATACTATTTACATGGTTTCGTGCCCCTCCCACCCCTCCAGGGAGGCCCCGCCTGAGCGAGGAGGGTATCGGAAACCATACTATTTACATGGTTTCGTGCCCCTCCCACCCCTCCAGGGAGTGCCCGCCTGAGCGAGGAGGGTATCGGAATACCATACTATTTACATGGTTTCGTGCCCCTCCCACCCCTCCAGGGAGGCCCCGCCTGAGCGAGGAGGGTATCGGAAACCATACTATTTACATGGTTTCGTGCCCCTCCCACCCCTCCAGGGAGGCCCCGCCTGAGCGAGGAGGGTATCGGAAAACCATACTATTTACATGGTTTCGTGCCCCTCCCACCCTCCAGGGAGGCCCCGCCTGAGCGAGGAGGGTATCGGAAAACCATACTATTTACATGGTTTCGTGCCCCTCCCACCCCTCCAGGGAGGCCCCGCCTGAGCGAGGAGGGTATCCGAAAACCATACTATTTACATGGTTTCGTGCCCCTCCCACCCCTCCAGGGAGGCCCCGCCTGAGCGAGGAGGGTATCCGAAAACCATACTATTTACATGGTTTCGTGCCCCTCCCACCCCTCCAGGGAGGCCCCGCCTGAGCGAGGAGGGTATCGGAATACCATACTATTTACATGGTTTCGTGCCCCTCCCACCCCTCCAGGGAGGCCCCGCCTGAGCGAGGAGGGTATCGGAATACCATACTATTTACATGGTTTCGTGCCCCTCCCACCCCTCCAGGGAGGCCCCGCCTGAGCGAGGAGGGTATCGGAACCATACTATTTACATTGTTTCGTGCAGGGAGGCCCCGCCTGAGCGAGGAGGGTATCCGAAAACCATACTATTTACATGGTTTCGTGCCCCTCCCACCCCTCCAGGGAGGCCCCGCCTGAGCGAGGAGGGTATCCGAAAACCATACTATTTACATGGTTTCGTGCCCATCTCACCTCTCCAGGGAGGCAAAACCATACTTACATGGTTTCGTGCCCCTCCCCACCTCCAGGGAGGCCCCGCCTGAGCGAGGAGGGTATCGGATTCGCCTGAGCGAGGAGGGTATCCGGTTTCGTGCCCCTCCCACCCTCCAGGGAGGCCCCGCCTGAGCGAGGAGGGTATCGGAATACCATACTATTTACATGGTTTCGTGCCCCTCCCACCCCTCCAGGGAGGCCCCGCCTGAGCGAGGAGGGTATCGGAATACCATACTATTTACATGGTTTCGTGCCCCTCCCACCCCTCCAGGGAGGCCCCGCCTGAGCGAGGAGGGTATCGGAATACCATACTATTTACATGGTTTCGTGCCCCTCCCACCCTCCAGGGAGGCCCCGCCTGAGCGAGGAGGGTATCGGAATACCATACTATTTACATGGTTTCGTGCCCCTCCCACCCCTCCAGGGAGGCCCGCCTGAGCGAGGAGGGTATCGGAAAACCATACTATTTACATGGTTTCGTGCCCCTCCCACCCCTCCAGGGAGGCCCCGCCTGAGCGAGGAGGGTATCGGAAAACCATACTATTTACACGGTTTCGTGCCCCTCCCACCCCTTCAGGGGGGCCCCGCCTGAGCGAGGAAACCACCAACGCATAGAGGGCTGGTGGGATTGAGAGTCTGTGTGCCGGAGCTCCTTACATGTCTCCAAGGGGTCCTCCAGGGCCTCGGCAAACCCTTTCAACATGAGCGGACAGGATGAGGAGGAGGAGGAGGGGGAGGAGGAAGAGGAGGGAGGAGGAGGAGGAGGAGGAGGAGGAGGAGGAGGAGGAGGAGGAGGAGGAGGAGGAGGAGGAGAAGGGAGGATTGGGACCAGATAGAACCCATGATGCATCAGCGATATACACCCTCCCGTCCCATGTCCCCTCCTCATAAGTTCCTACACGCATCTTTTCCAAACCTCGGACGCGCGCCCAGGAAAGACAGGCGCCCCATGGGCGTGGCATTGGTGAGGAAACCGAAGTTCAATACATCTGGCAGGTTTTTTGGGAATCGCAACTGGGTTTTCATATGTGTTTCAAGAGCTATATCTTAGAATGCTCAGAAACCCAATGGTTTTGAAAAGGATTTCGTCATGCGCGCGCGGCGACGCCGCTCCAGAGTGCTCGCGCGATGAGACTGGTGTGGCGACCTTTTGCCCACAGCATTCGCAGTCGAAGTCCGAGTAGAGCTCTCAGAGTTGGGAGTCCGCGTGACAGACCAGGCCAATATGGTCGCACTGAGTCCCAAGGACGAGGAGGAGAGGCGGAGAAGGACGGCGTCAGTCGCTTGGCTCTGAACCCTTTGGGGGTTCTGCCAGCAGCATTGGCTCTTCTGGGCTCGTGCTACTCCCCCAGTGGGAGCGCTGAACCCTCCGGGGCTCGTGCTCCCACTCACCTGGCGCTGAACCCTTCGGGGCTCGTGCCAGGTGCCAGTAGCGCTGAACCCTTCGGGGCTCGTGCTCCTGAAACTGGGAGCGCTGAACCCTCCGGGGCTCGTGCTCCCACTCACCTGGCGCTGAACCCTGCGGGGCTCGTGCCAGGTGCCAGTAGCGCTGAACCCTTCGGGGCTCGTGCTACTGAAACTGGGGGCGTTGAACCCTCCGGGGCTCGTGCTCCCCTCACCTGGCGAACCCTTCGGGGCTCGTCAGGTGCCAGTAGCGCTGAACCCTTCACCTGCGCTGAACCCTTCGGGGCTCGTGCCAGGTGCCAGTAGCGCTGAACCCTTCGGGGCTCGTGCTCCTGAAACTGGGAGCGCTGAACCCTCCGGGGCTCGTGCTCCCACTCACCTGGCGCTGAACCCTGCGGGGCTCGTGCCAGGTGCCAGTAGCGCTGAACCCTTCGGGGCTCGTGCTACTGAAACTGGGGGCGTTGAACCCTCCGGGGCTCGTGCTCCCACTCACCTGGCGCTGAACCCTTCGGGGCTCGTGCCAGGTGCCAGTAGCGCTGAACCCTTTGGGGCTCGTGCTACTCAAACTGGGAGCGCCGAACCCTCCGGGGCTCGTGCTCCCAATCACCTGGCGCTGAACCCTTCGGGGCTCGTGCCAGGTGCCAGCAGCGCTGAACCCTGCGGGGCTCGTGCTACTGAAACTGGGAGCGCTGAACCCTCCGGGGCTCGTGCTCCCAATCACCTGGCGCTGAACCCTTCGGGGCTCGTGCCAGGTGCCAGTAGCGCTGAACCCTTCGGGGCTCGTGCTACTGAAACTGGGAGCGCTGAACCCTTCGGGGCTCGTGCTCCCAATGACCTGGCGCTGAACCCTTCGGGGCTCGTGCCAGGTGCCAGTAGCGCTGAACCCTTAGGGGCTCGTGCTACTCAGTCGATTCTTACTACCATTCAAACAGCTTTCATGACTCTTGAATAAAGGGGCCACTAACACAGATTTTGTTTTGAGGGTTTGGGGCCCGTTGGTGGGTATCAGGAGATTCTTGCTGTCAAACGGTGCGGGGGTACATGCAGACACGAATTTGGGCCGCTCTTGCGTATGTTTTGCGGAGTGGATTTTTTGTTCATGGCATTTTGGATCCCGGGGTCCGTTTGTCACGCCAGGTGCCAGTAGCGCTGAACCCTTAGGGGCTCGTGCTACTCAGTCGATTCTTACTACCATTCAAACAGCTTTCATGACTCTTGAATAAAGGGGCCACTAACACAGATTTTGTTTTGAGGGTTTGGGGCCCGTTGGTGGGTATCAGGAGATTCTTGCTGTCAAACGGTGCGGGGGTACATGCAGACACGAATTTGGGCCGCTCTTGCGTATGTTTTGCGTTGTGGGCGCAGCTCATGAACAAGACTTTGGCGATCGCGAAGGGCCCGCCGCTTAACTTCGGCCACTCCATCACTCCAATGAAGCGCAAGCGCGCGCTGGACGAGGCCGCTGGCCCCTCCGCGGCTGCGGACATGACAGTCCGCAGCCGCGGGCTGGTCGAGGCGTGAGCTGCGTCTGCCCACCGCTGGTCGCCCCCGCTGCTTCGGTCTGCTGGTGTAGCGGCGCTTGCGTTGCAGCAGGTGGAGGTGACTTCGAATCGTACTACCATCGGTCTTCACTGCAGTGGCTGCGATTAAATAGCACTCCGCGTGGGCTTAAGAAGAAGCCCCCCCCCACGCGTCGGCCCGAGTACAGTCAGGCTAGTAGGTTAACGCCGTGTGCACAAAACCATAATGCAGCGATACATTGTTTGGGAGATTATTGGCAGTCTGTTAAACCGCTCTTGGCCGATCAGTGTTTGCGTTCGAATTGTAGTTACCAGACACCTCGGCAAGTGCTTTCGTCTAGCGAACTCGTGTCGCCCACCCTCTTGTATAACCTCGACTGGACGAGGGAAGTGAGACCACTCAGACCAACCTCACGAATCGGACCTCACGAGGAAAATGAGACCACTCAAACCAACCTCCCGCTGCTGCTCCTGCTGCGGTTCCTGCTGCTGCCATCATCCATCTTATCCTCTTCCTCCTCCTCCTCCTCCTTCTCCTCCTCCTCCTCCTCCTCCTCCTTCTCTTCCTGGAGGGTATCGGAAAACATGCTGTTTACACGGTTTCGTGTCCCCCCTCCACTCCTCCAGAGAGGCCGCGCTTGAACGAGGAGGGTCGCGGAAAGCATTACTCTTCGCCAGGTTTCGTAGCCCTCCCCCCTTCCAGCGGGGCCCCGCCAAAGCGAGGAGGGCATCAAGAAAATGGGTCCCACGAAACCGTTAATCTCTTTATGTGGGGAACTCCGTTAGCATAATTTTGTAACGTTTGCGAATAGGGACTTTGCAGGTAGTGGAACGCACTCGAGGCCACTCAGGACCTGCCTCCTTCCACATCCCCGACCTCGATGTCAGCGACGGCGAGTCGGACGACGGCCTCGTGCGCAACTGAGAGCCCGCGGGGCCACATAGCCTCCCCGCAGCAAAGGCCCGGGTGCGCGCCAGGCTGGGCGCAACTGCAGGCGACGCGCCCGTCGCAGAGCTGGCGGCGCCCCTTCGTGCCGCCTCAGCGCAGCCAGGCCGCTGCAGCGGCACCGAGGCGTCCCCTGTCGCGGCACGCATCGCCCTGGGCCAGGCACGCGGCGCCGCCACAATCATGGCGGCGGCGAGCAGCCAAGAAAAAGAGGAGGCGGAGGAGGAAGAAGAGATAAATCAACCCCTGTTTGGCTTCTCCATCAAAAGAGGATGTCTCGCGCAGCCAACGCACGGGACCATCACCCGCGATTAGCTCGCCCTCAGAAGTAAGTGCCATCCAAACATGAGTTTGCAGCTAAAGTACCCGTCCCTGCTATATCCGATACTAACCATCTGAAGGCGATTTTTAGGTCGCCCCAGCCAGGAGGTTCGAAACAACTACACCCACCCCGACCTCAAGTTCATCCATGACATTCCACCACAGGTTCCTCTTCTCTTCCCCCCTCCTGTCTGCCTGCGAGACGGGGTAACGCATCTGACTATGTAGGAATTCCATCTCTCAGCCCTGCCCCACCCCATTTGTTCTACCCGATATCCTCCTCAAACTCCTCGAACTTGGCTTTGCCTAAAGCGCCCGAGGCGAGCCAAGAGCCCGTAGACCCAAGAGTCTGGTGCATAGTACGAGCACTGAACTCGACGTATCCCGCCTGAGAGGGGGGTCCGAACACAGTGCTGGAGGAAGTGCGTGGGGAAAGGCAGGGCAAGGCAGCGGATTTAGACAAGAGGATCAAGCTGATAACAAACGCGTCAGCATGACCATGACCAGCAAGAGAAGCTACTAAACTCGCGAGGCTAAGAAACGTGAGAGCGACAATGTACCACACATTGGTTACCATCAATACAACTCTAGCCTACAGCAACGACCGCCATAAACCACATTAACCCAATGACTTAGGCAAAACCTTGAATAACACGGCACGTGTCCCAATATCTGGCCAAGCGATCTGTGCAAACCCAACGCGGACCACGATGGCGGTGATGACAAGCCAATCGTTCGACCGAACTGTCAATAAACATATCTGGGGACTCAAAACGCTGTCAAATGTTAGCGACAAGTCCTCGTAGGCACAGCCTGCCTGCAGTGGCCATCATAATTGCAGAACCACGCCAAGACATCCCAGAAAATGACTATACGTCTTGGCCCCCATCGGATCTTTCGACAACTGCCGGCGACCACGGCACATTGCCAACAACAACTGCGGACGACGGTTCGCGATCATGCGACCAGCGGGGGCTCGTAGATGCCGCGGGCCTCTTAGAAAGGAATTCGCGCTTTACTGTCACAGTCGCGTCCTGATCGAGCCGAAGGTCAAGCGGGTTAGGCGGCTCACCTTGAGCTTTCCCCAGAGCTCGTCCATGGTTCCTGCCCACATCCCTTGGCAACGTTATGTTGATCCTCGACACATCCCTTTCCAATCTTCTTCGCCTCCCTGCATCCCTGCGCTGAAAAAAAACATGTGCCAAATACTTATCTGGCATCTTTGGCGTAACCAGACATGAGATTTGCAATCGACCGTATGATAATCGTATCAAGGACGACTACGATTAGGACTAAAGAAAATCATCAGGAGCAGCGAACTCAACTGCCCGAATTTTCCCAAGCAAACGTCAAACCAACACAACACGCAAAGCCATTTGCGTGCCCCAGCGATTGCGGTCAAGTCTGTCACCAGATTTGTCAATCTGCTACAGACGCATAGTTGTGCCCAGCTCGTGGCAACCTAGCACCGATTACAGAGCTCTAGCGGTCCCACATACCATACGCGCCACCGCTGCTCTAGCGACACGGGGCGGGACGCACGTGCACACAAAACAGAGACAGAATGAGAGGTACCACTGCCTGTGCATGTACGCCTCAATTCGCACCGGCCCGGTGGCCGGCCCGAGGCAGGGAAAGCAGGCCCGGGGGGCCCCCGATCCCCCTGCCCCTCCGATGAGGCTCTGGCCGAGCCAAGAAGGCCAGCCTTCTCGGCAAGGCCGAAGACCCAAGCCCAGGAGCGATCCGGAACAGAAACAAGGAACACAACAAGGAACAAGGCATGGAGCAGATGTGGCGCCACGCACGAAGACTGGAGTGATGAGCTCAGAGCGGGGCTGCTATGGTACAGAACCTATCCACCTACTGACCACCACGTTGAGACATTCCCTCGGAGCACAGACAGGGAGCGAAGGGGCAGAGCAGTGTAGAGCGAGGGCGCACAGGTGCAACTACAAAGGTCTATAGTCCCAAGAGCTGACGCAAAGCCTGCCCGTGCAGTCGGAACCTAACGCGCCAGCGACGTCCCGACACCAAACATGCGGAGCAGGATCGCCCTGAGAAGGTGGGCCGCTGGAGTGCCACATTCAGCAACTTCTGACAACAACTACGATGTATGACGTGCTGGGGCCTGGTCGGGAGTCCCACCAGCCCTTTGGGCGTGAGTGGTTTAGAGAGCCCGCTCTGTTCTCAACCCCCTTCTTCCCCTTCGGGGAGGGGTTTACCCCTCCCCCTACCCCCTCCCCCTGGGCCTGGAGAGGGCGCCTCGCGGGTGGTCAGAGGGGTCGTTTTCGACTCCTGGGAGGGCTAAAAAACGACACCCCTCACGAGGATTCTGGCCCCGACGGGGGGAGGGAGAAAAAATGCTCTCCTCTTCTTGGAAGCCAAAATCATTGATTTTACTAAGGTTTGGGCCCCATTTTGGCCTTCTGAGGGGGCAGCGCTAATTAAAGCTCCCCTCTTCTTTCAAGCCAAAATCATTGATTTTACTAAGGTTTTGGCTCCATTTTGCCCTTCTGAGGGGGCAGCGCTAATTAAAGCTCCCCTCTTCTTTGATCGATTCCCTCCAAGATGGCCCCAAGAAGCGCCCAGGAGGCACCAAGAGGCCCCAAGATGGCCCCAAGAGGCCCCCAGGAGGCCCCCAAGAGGCCTCCAAGAGCCCCCAAGAGGCCCCCAAGAGGCCCCAAGAGGCCCCCGAGGCACCCAAAACGCTCCTGGAAGCCCCTGGGGCCGCCAAGAGGCCCCCAAGACGCCCCAAACGGCCTCCAAGAGGCTCCCAAGAGGCCCGAAGAGGCTCCCCCAAGGCACCCAAGACGCTCCTAAAAGCCCCTGGGGCCGCCAAGAGGCCCCCAAGACGCCCCAAAAGGGGACGAGGTGCCCGAACGCCTCACGCCACGAGGAGCCCGAACGACTCACACCAGGACGAGGGGCCCGAACGACTCACACCACGAAGAGCCCGAACGACTCACACCAGAAGGAGGGGCCCGAACGACTCACACCAGGACGAGGCGCCCGAACGACTCACACCACGAGGAGCCCGAACGACTCACACCACGACGAGGGCCCCGAACGACTCACACCACGAGGAGCCCGAACGAGTCACACCAGGAGGAGGGGCCCGAACGACTCACACCAGGACGAGGGGCCCGAACAACTCACACCACGAGAAGCCCGAACGACTCACACCAGGACGAAGAGCCCGAACGACTCACACCACGAAGAGCCCGAACGACTCACACCAGGAAGAAGGGCCCGAACGACTCACACCAGGACGAGAAACCCCAAACGACTCAAACCACGAGGAGCGCTTTCTCTCCCTCCTCCTCCGCCTAGTCCTTCTCCCGCTCCCCCCACAAGGAGGATGTACAAGGAGGCGGGAGGAAGGAGGAACAGGGGAGATATGCGGGGCCAAGCGGACACACGCCTGAAAAACACGACTGTCGGCATGCTTCGCAAGAGTTGCTGTTGTGAGATGGGCTGGTGGGGATACGCGAAGCGTAAAGAATTCCAAAACACGATTTCGACACATGACTAGCAAAATGCACTTGCAAGGGGTGGCGACAAGCTTGCTCATACTAGTATCTCACACGTGAGGCCGTATATAATTTGGCACATTCCATATGTGTGTAATTACTGGTGGATCACTCAGAGGAGCCGTTGTTTTGCCCACTGTTGGAGTATCAAAGACGCTCACGGCGAACCACCGCCGCCCCCTGCCGCTTGGAAACGCCTATGTGGCAAAACATTTGGCCAGCGATTGGCCAAGCTATTGGATGATGTGTTGTAAAAGCCCTTGGGTGAACATCTGGGGGAGGAAGAGAGAGGAAGAAAAGAAAGAGGGGGAGGAGGAGGAGGGAGAGAAAGAAGAAGGGGCCTCCTGAAGGGCCCCTTCAGGAGGCCCCTTCCTCGGAGACCCCACGCGGCCCCCTTCAGAAGGGGGCCGCTTGGGGTCTCCGAGGGTCCTATTGGGTGAGCTCTGAGGGCCTCTTGGGGGCCTCTTGGCGGCCTCTTGGGCCGTCCAAGGACTCTCACTCTTGGCCCGTCTGACGCCATCAGTGGGGGGGCTACCTTGGCCCTCCTGGGGCGCCGTACGGCCGTCCTCAAAGTCTTCGGGGCCGTCTTGGGGCCCTCTTGGGGCCGTCTTGGGGGAATGTTGGGCCGTCTTTGGCGAGATCTGGCCTACCTTGAGACACTCTGGAGGGCTTATCGGTCAATATTGGGGCCATCTTGGAGGCCTCTGGGACACCCTCTGGGGCCGTGTTCAGCTAGGTGGCTTCGTCGGGATATCCTTGAAGGTCTCATGGAGCTCTCTTAGGACGTCTTACAAACCTCTTGGGCAGCCTTGAAGCTATCTTGGGCAATACCCGAGCATGCTTAATCCGTATCGGGCCATCTTGGAACAACATGTTCCCTTTTGGAGGCCGGATTGGACAATCTTGGATGCAACCTTGGGAGTATTCGAAGCATGCTGTGAAGACCCCGAAAGAAACGCAATTGTGAGCTGCATCTTCCGGGTGGTAGGCTGGCTCGGTCGAAGCCCTACTGGGAAACTTCTAGAAGGGCTCAACATAGTAACAACTTGGGTACACCAGCGACCCCTGTGGCGAGCACTGGGGGCGGCGGATCGAAGACGCCTACGGCAAATCACCGCCGCCCCCTGCTGAAAGAGTTTGAACGGGGCCAGTAGGCCCATCCAGAAGCTACGCCGTAGGCGAAGCACAGCTCCTGCTCTGTTGTATCGTAGTAGCGATAGTCCCAGTCGCAGGAGGTCGTCGCGGGAGCGACGGGCCATCTCAAGCGAAGAATGTGTTCGGTCTCGATGGCGAATACTATGCCTCGCAATGAGGCGCAGTCATATGTTGGCGGCTGGCCGCTTGAACACAAACGGCCGCGGACAAACGCTCGTTATCTTTCGCCCTGGTCCCAGTTCACTTTAGAGTCGGGGGAAGGGAGACGAAGCGTGAGTCCGCAGCCCCTTATACAGCAAACTCTACATACAAAAAGGGCAACAACAAGCGGGTCCGTAAGGAAGGTGAACCCGCAAGCAAGTTGCCTTGCGAGCACGGTGCTGTGCATACGATTAGTCCTCAGGCGGCCTTAAACGATGTTGTCTGGCCAGCCCGATAAGGAGCATGACGTTCGAAGTCATGCTTAAAGGATCGCGTGCCTCCCATGACCTGTGGGAGCATATCTCTGTCAATGCCCCCTGTGTGTGACCGTCCGCGGTCATGTCGAGGTCACACCACTGGATGCTATGCACGATTCCTTGCTCCATCATCTGTCGTATCCAACTGATGTGTCCCGGAAGAGTACACTCAGTCGGCCTTTGCAGGACTTTGCTCGGCAAGGACTTGAAAGCAGATTCAGCATCTATGGTCAAATTTACCCGACTGCTCCGGCCACCCAACTCCAGTACATCTTTCAACTGAGTGGGCGTCGGTGGACCTACTTGGAGTTCGTGCAGAGTCACGATCATGGGATAGCAGTCCTCCAAGTTGCGGGCTGCTGCTACTGTTTCTGCTGAATAGCTTGAGCGGGCCTGCAAGCGGTGGGACTTGCAGTACGCATCGATCAAGTGGATGCCAGGCTTACCAGATGGCGTGCTTCCACGCCGTAGCAGGTTTGCCCCGCGAATGCCGTAGCCTTTGACCTCGTCGTCGGCATCTCCACTCAGGCGTCGATAGCCGGAGTCGCTGTGCAGGTCAACTCCGCACGTTGGAGTCATCGATTGCTAGATGATCTTCTTAAGGCAGGCCTGCAGCTACCTGACAATCGCACTCAGTCGTCACACTTGTATATCGGTCAGTTATGGGACACGTTGTAGAGAAACCACATATACCATCAACCGCACTGGTGTGATTAATGCGTAAGCCAACGCGCCTCTGAGGCTGACGAACATGTCAGCAACCATCTTGGATGCTTTGGCATCGGCGTCTGCGCCTGTGAGTTCAGGATGTTGCATGGGACGGAGCTGTCCGATGTAATTATTCATATCGGTCCAGTGTAACATTACCGTCCCCATCCTTCGTGTAACTCGCAGCACAATTGGTAGATGTATGTTTGTTGAAGTTGCACTTGCCAAAAATGCCATCGACGCAATTGACGCA